GTACAGTAAGGAAAGCTTTTCCTCCAATAATCAAGCTAGAGTGAAGCATTTATTTCTAATACAGAACAGAAATATAAAGCTAGAGAATTGAAGGGGAGTCCTGGGGAGACAAACACAAGTATTTGTATTACAAGTATTACAACATGATGTGAAAACTGTGAGTAACACACAGAAATTAACCTGTTAATTCACATTTACCACCATCTTGTCTGACTTATGAACCTTGAATGTAGCTTATGCACACATCCAGTAGACAAAGTGGTCAAGTTCAACACAAGCTTCTTTTTTTTAGCTGCACCATCACAAACAAACAGGCAAGCTGAATGGGGGGGAAGCAGTAAGTCAGTCCAAACAAGGAACACCCCCCCTCAGAAAGGAGCCTCTGTCAGTCTGGGTTGAGATTAACCATTTTAACAGGTCCCGTTCATTTGATGTGGTTTGTTTCACAAAAGTTAGATAAGTTTCTTTTGGGTGACGCCAATTTAAAATTTACACAAATTATGTCATTTCTCTGCTGCTCTTTTTTGGTCTAATGTAAACAACCGTCGCGTTAATTCGCCAAACTATGAACTTTTCCAGGAGGATCGTGGAACAGTTTTTTTTTTTTTTTGTAACAATCAGCTCACCTTCACAAAACTTTCACAATTAGGCTACACTACGGTTAACTGAAATGGGGAGGGGGGTCCGAACAACTCTTTAAGGACTGACGTTTAATTTAGTCCTTACTAGTTTAATTATCGCTGGAAAAATGTCTCCAATAATTAACTTAAGGTGAAATCTAAAGAGTGCCCTTGACGATAAGCAGGGCAGATCAAAGTGACAGACTTTTGAGTACTACTCCGGAGCAAACTACCCCGGTCGTAACGTTTCTGCAAACGGACACAGAGACACGGAGACGTTAACAAACACCGCGAGCTATTTAAGTTACCTTAACGGGCCAGTTGTTCGTTACCGGTAGGACCGCGAGGTGTAGCAGGAGAAAGGAGCAAACCGGGAGAGCTGAGCCTCCGTTGCCGAACATGGTTCATTCATGTCACGGACCGACAACACTTCCCCTCCCCTCTCTCCTCTCCCCTGCTCACTCCTCTGCCTCTGCCCTCCTTCCTCCTCCGATTTCGACCCCCTTTTGATGTCGCCAGTTACGCCTTCTGGTCTCACGCACACACACGCATAGGCCTAACTTTACGCACGTTACGCACGCATTCGTGACATCCATCCAACATGATGCGTGTTTTATTTTAGCAATTTTTGTTTGTTTATTCTGGTCTGTTACAGTTGTATTGGGATTGTGTTTTTTATATATATATATATATATATCTTAAGTGTTCTGTACGTATTCTGTATAATTTTTCAAGTTTATGTTGTAGATTAGTATGCTGATGGGACATTATACTGTAGGTATATACGGAAGCCCTAAGAGGCCATACATCCATGCATTTATTTATTACGTTTTCCCGTGATAGGAGTTCGAAATAACCAGTGTTGGGCAAGATATTTCCAAAATGTATAACCTGTAGCCTATGTATAACAAATATATTACTTTTGCACGTAGCTCAACAAAACTACAACATTTGTAGACAGTAAAATAGTGCAAAATATGCTGAAATAAATATTTTTTTGTGGTAATTAAGCATTATTATTCAGTGTCATTGAGGTAGGTGGATGTGATATATACATTATATACAATATGAACAGCTATTAGATTGCTAGTAAGGAGTAAATTATACAGGTGGACGTTAGAGTCACTGCAGAGGAACTGTTCCATGTGTCTGGAGTTATTTACCCCTGAGGAATAAGAAATATATTGCAGGGATTTCACTTCAAGATGGAAATTACAGCAAAATTAAAGTTTTTAATCCTTACCTTTATCTGTAACAGAAGTTCCCTTTCTGATGTCTTTCAAATGCTGCTGTTCCTTGGCATTTCATTACTTGTGGAAATTGGCTCCAGTGACAAAATAATGTAGTTCTCTTTCAACGTATGAACACAAAATGTAAAACAAAAACTTTTGGTAACTGTTAATATTGACGTTAATATTTTAAAAAGGTAACAGTGATTTATTACAACAAGGATTTACAGGGAAAGTAAGTACATTAAACCAGTCCTCACACCATTTAATAATTAATAATAATTTAATTATCAGGGGGGGTATGTGTAGGGTCTGTGCGGATGTCCACGTGCCTCCTGTTTTTTGTGACCTACTGCGCATGTGTGGAACGTGTCCGCCAAGTTGACTGCAGAAAGTAGTATTAACAGAAGTAGTCCGGGTCCGCTCCCGAGTATATAATAGCTGGTGGGTTGCTGATGGGTGAAATAGGATAATCGTCTCCCCATTAAGAAAGACGCTGTGCACTTTTACTCACAAGGTTCAGCCGCATAACTTCATTGATTATTTAAATCTGTCAACACTCCGACAGGATCGGCCAGGATGAACTGACAGCAGCCTCTTTGATCAAGTACGTCGTTAAAGAAAACACATTTAGAATTCTATTCACACATGATCCATGATAATGAAGATACAGAAAGGAAAAAACTGCAAAAATGGCATATTGTTACTATTTTAGCGACCCCCCAAAATTTCACAAATCATGTTTTCAGGGGAGCTCCCGTCTTATTAAGAGGAGCTGAGCTCCCCCTGACTCCCCCGTAGTTTGCACCCTGCCTATAAACTCAACTGTGGAATACCTGCGACAGGAAATAAGGTTACTCTGGAAGTCACAGATCACAAATGTTGTTTTCCAGAAATAACCAGATAATTTTCTCGAGATAATGAAACTTTATTTTCCCGATAAAGACATAAGGAATTTGAGATCTCACGAAAACAATAATCAGTCCCTCCAGGATTTCGTAGATTTTGCAATCACAACTATTAACACAATTTCAGTAAAACCACGTGAATTCTGCGCCACTTGCAATTTTGACCATTCAGCGCAACTTTTCTACATATTTGTGTGATACGTCTCACATTTGCCTACAAAAATGACAGCAAAGGACAGTGAAAAACAGGATCCAGATCTTCTCTATTAAAGCGGGGGTAAACTGTTGATAAAGTGCAATATTGAATGAAAGAAAAGAAATCGTCTATTGACCACCGCAAAAACATACGCGGAGATCACTGTGACATAGGCTGTTGCATCCTGGGCAATTGCAAGCCCTGAAAGAGAAAATAAATTAAATGAACTTGTTATCACGGGAAAATGGAGAAAATAAAATACATGAAAGTATGGCATCTTAGGGCTTCCGTAGTTAAAAATTCCTCATCGCAAATGAAGCTTTTTAAGCCTACGACTAAGATTAAAGAAAAAGTACCTGATTATAATTAAAAATTGTATCTAATCTTAAATTTAATCAGTCTGATTGACTGACCACTTACCCCCGAACGTGTTTTCTGAAGTATGTAGAGATTTTTTCTAGTGTTAAATCGATATGTAGGCTGCATCATTTAAAAAAAACAATCATAACTATTAATATTGACTTTTGACTGTGGACCATTGATAGAGGAGAAGAATTTTCTGAAATCGACTGGAGAGGTGTCCAGTAGCAGCAGTGGATGTCATCCCACGCAACTGGTCAGTCAGTCTGTACTGTTGAAATTTATATGTGCCAAACTGATTTTCAATCACTGCAATCCAAACCTTAGCCATAGTTTATATGTCAGAAAATACTTACAGAGCACAATGTTTCATTGAAAATATGGCTAAACATTTTGACTATCGTGTTTATAAACAATGACGCGAGGAGTTGTCATTCGGGTACACTGACATATTTACTTTTGAGGGATAGAAAAGGATTTTGAGCACTTCCTGTTATGCAAATGCGAAGGATAATTCAAGAAATGCACCACAGAGGCTGAGAAAAACTGCAATAATCTATTTCTAACACCTAGAGCTCTGACGTCTTCTAGTGGTAACAATGTAAAACTACATCACAGTAAATACTGGATGACCAGCAGAACCAGAATGAATGAATCTGTGGTGTCCGCCTCTGTCCTCCTTCTCTGCCATGCCTTCTTTTTGAATAGCTATCAGTCTCAAAATGTCTTGCTATGCCTAGTTGTGGCCTTCAGAATTTAGGCTAAACACACTCCTGTTGTGTTTCTCTCTTTCCACTGCCAGGCACTTCACCAATGGCTTTGCATGGTTTACTTCTTATCTGCTTTCAGGTGGAAGGCCGTTGGAAAACGGATGGGCACAAAGATTATTGTTCTTAATTTTTCATACACCTCCAACATTGGTTAACAGTAACTAAGTACATTTACTCAAATACTGTAGGCTGCAAATTATAGGTATTTGTACTTTACTCGAGTACTTTCTTTTCATGCCACTTTCCACTTCTACTCCACTACATCTCAGAGGACGATATTGTGCTTTTTACTACACTACATTTATGTGACAGCTTAAGTTATTTTGCAAAATGAGATTTTACACACAAAACACATGAAAAGTTAAAAAAATTATTATGTTTTGTTATAAATTGAACTCCAACAGTTGGTACAATGGTACAAAACAAGCTTTGTGAAGGTGTTACTTTGGGCTCTGGACAACTGTGACCACATTTCTCACTTTTTTCAGAATCTTTTACAATCGATTAAAGAAGAAAATAATCAGCGGATTAATCCATAATGAAAAAAGTCATTAATTGCAGTATGATACAAAATAGCTCAACCTCAAACAAATACAACACCAAAACCCTGCTTTTACATTAACGCATGAGAAATAATCTCCTGATACAATATATTTTTATACTTTCTGCATTGACTACTTTTACTTTGAATAATGTCTGTAGGCAACATTTTCCTGATCGTACTTACATACTTTTTCTCAAGTAACATTTTCAATGCAGTACTTTTTCCTGTAACTGAGTATTTTTACAGTGAGGTATTAGTACTTTTACTTAAGTAAGAGATCTGGATACTTCATCCACCACTGACCTGCATTCCTTTGTAAATTAGGGCCCCGGGCCCCCCTCTGGCATTGCGCCTCAGTTTCCCAGAACACACCGCTTCCTGTGCATCCGCCATATTGCCTTCGCCTAAACGCGCTGGCTGGATCGGCTCGAACCCACAACTGAAAACGTAAGTACAGAAACAATCGTATTTTATGGAAGCTAGGAATATTTTGTGTTTATGTTTGTACGTGTGTATCAAAGGCTGGTTCGCATGTGAATTTGCTGTTTAAATTATTTAGAAATGAGGTTTAAAAAAAAAGGGCTGATATTAGCTGAAGAGGCTGGTGCGTCGGCTCCGTCTCTGTTGTTGTTTTTCCCCTCTGTCACAGCCACAAATTACATTCACGACTCCTTCGCGATATTTTAGATATTAGCGTTTTTTATCGTTGTGTGTAATATTTAAACCAGGACAAACGAGCCGCGTGTGCCCCTTTTGTCTTCTCTCGGCTACACACACACGCAGTATATGAAGCTTATTTCTGCCTCCTAATGTTTGCGTTTCGGGGGGAACAGCTAACCTCCGTGGTGGCTAGTTAGCATTAGCCTAGCCCCGCAGATGGTACGTGAAATCTGTGCGCGGGGCTGTCTATTATTAACTCTAATTGATTATCTAGTGCCAATCAAATCTACTGAATCAAACGTCGTCGTTAGCTACTCTCTGGTCTCGTGTTAGCCACAGAGAACGATAACGTTATGTCATCTGATTCGTTAGTTTTAACGCACTGGGCTTTGTTTACTGACATGAATGGATGATTGCGGGGGATATTAGACGAATGTGTAACGTTGGGGTGAAGATGTACCCAGATTCACGTCTCCGTTGTTGGCTTTTTTCTTGACATTATTAATCTGAGGGTGTAAAGATGCATCAGTTTTGTCTTCAGCCACCCACAGTGTTTAACACGGACCACCCCCCCACTTTCACCTCTTGGCTGTAGCATGTGTGTCAGTCAGCATGGCTCACACATGCTGAGAGGAGCCTTGACATTTTGATATTTAGAAAAACTGTCAGGTCCGAGACAGAGACCACCAGGCCCGATACAAAGTGTAGGATACCCCTGGTTGGATTTAGTTAATATTTTAGTCAGTTCAAGCTCTGCACGGCCAAAAAGTCTCAGGTGACTTTGACAAAGAGGCACAAAAGTGTTATAGATGGTTGGATAATTCAAGGCAGAGGCCAGACCCAAGTGTCTAGATTCTGGCTATGTTTGGAAAATTTACTTATCTAGCCTTTCCCTGTTATCCCATATTTAGAATGAGGATCACTTTAATTACCTCAGAGTTACCTTTAAACAAACAGGACAGCAAGCTCAACAAAAACAGACACAAACTGCAAACTACTGTACAAAAATAAAACACAAAACAACAAAATTTGTAGTCAGTAAATTAGTGCAAAAAAGCTGGAATAAATATATTTTTGTGGTAATTATGCTTTGTCTATTTCTATGGTGACTTTTTAACTGTTTGGATTTTAATTGTTCTTTATCTTCTGTGAAAGCACTATGTACTCCATTTGATAAGTTCTCTACAAATAAAAGTTATTATATACAATATAAAACGCTATTAATTTGCTAGTAAGGAGGATACAGGTGGATGTTAGAGTCACTGGGTTATTGCAGAGGAACTGTTCCATGTGTCTGGAGTTATTTACCCCTGAGGAATAAGAAATAAATTGCAGGGATTTCTCGTCAAAATTAAAGTTTTTAATCCTTACCTTTATCTGTAACAGGAGTTCCCTTTCTGATGTCTTTCAAATGCTGCTGTTCCTTGGCATTTCATTACTTGCAGAAATCGGCTCCAGTGACAAAATAATGTAGTTCTCTTTCAATGGATGAACACAAAATGTAAAACAAATCTTTTGGTAACTGTTTGATTACCATCTTATGGGTTTGATGACTGAAGTTAATATTTTAAAAAGCTGACATTGATTCATTACAGCAGGGATTTACAGGGAAAGTAAGTACATTAAACCAGTCCTCACACCTATTTAATAATTTAGGGGAGGCTAAACTCTGATAGAGCGGGTCCTCTCTTAATTACAGGGCTGGTGGTTCCTTCCCTCCTTTCCACGTGACACTAAACCACACAGTCGCTGCTGATAGCCAATCAAGTGCTTTGCATTGGATTGGAGCTCTGTGACTATTAGTACTAGAGCTGCGGCGATTGATCAAATAATCCATTAGTTGTCAACTATATAATGAATTGGTAACTATTTGGATCATTTGATTTGTTTAGTTTGAGTGAAAGAAGAATTCTCTGATTCCAGCTTCTTAAATGTGAATATGTTTTGATTTCTTTGCTCCTCTTTGAAAGTAAACAAAATTTTTGGGTTGTGGACAAAACAAGATATTTGAGGACGTCATCTTGGGCTTTGGGAAACATTTTTCACCATTTTCTGACATTTTATAGACCGAACAAGTGATCGATAATTATCGACAATGAAAATAATTGTTAGTTCCAGCCCTAATTGGTACATGTCTGTGTAAACGAGTCAAATTTTGTCTGCAAAATTAAGAAAAGTGCTTAAGAGTGCAGTCCATTTATCGTGCGTTTCCCACTAATAGTAATCACCAGAGGTCATCATTACGTCCTAGATTTCTAAGAAAATCTCATTATCCTTATTTTTTGTTGTTGTTGTTGTTTCAGCGTTGCAGAGATGACTCAGACAGTTCAGACCAACGGGGTTCAACCCCTCAGTAAGACCTGGGAGCTGAGTCTGTATGAGCTACAGAGAACACCACAGGTAATAATTCATGCCACTCAGTTCATTCACCGATTACGTACATAGTGTTTTATGGAACTCCTCTTGCTTTTGTTTGTTTTTTTTAAACCTAACATCTGTAGGGTAAATCAATCTGTAAAATAAAAATTGTATAGTGGTGAAACGAGTCATTTCGAGGGGGTTGTGACGCTCAAAAGAACGTGTCCAACGGAGGAAGTGCAACGCTACCAAGCTGACCAATCACAGCTCAAAATTCAACTTTTACTTGCAGGTGTTCCTGTTTACAATCATGATACATAATTATCAATGTGTTTGGGAAATGACAGAAGCTTAGAATATACTGTTGTGGCGTTAAAGGTGCTGAGAAAGATTTGGGTGCACCCAGTGTTTCCCACTCACGAAAGGGCCTTTCCGAAACTAGACCCTTGACACGGAGTGAACTCTGGTCGGAGTCACCCTCCAGGCCAAATCGAGCTCCCTAACCCGTATAGTGTTTAAATAAAGTGGACATGCGCATGAACGCGCGAATTGAGCAGAAGTAGGTAGGGAGAGGGAGTAGCAAGCACTTTTAAAAAGGCCCATAGGCTTTACTTGGGCCGGCGACCCATTTTAAATATCTCTCACTCTCTCTCACATTGACGACAGACCCGTCTGTGAAATTGAATGTTTAGTAGCCTGTCGTAAACACCGCTGCACAAATCTGTCCAATCTGTCCACTGTGTGAGCTTACTGTGAGCTCACAACAATGATCAGGCAAAAGGTGGTTCCAACTTTGTGCAGCCAGAGAAAAGCAACTGCGTGCGCCGGTGTTGTGCACCTCACGTGTGGTGACGCTCTATTATGCTGAGAAAAGAGGTGGATGATTCTGTGCCGCACCAATGCAGAAAGTTAGTCCGGAGCTCTCCCATGTTCCCGAAAATAGAACAGTGAGCTGTGCAATATCCCAAATGATGACTCTTCAGTTGCTGTGCACAGTCAGACCCGTGAGCCGTGTCAGCTGTACCGCTCCGCAGGCAGATTCATCTTTGTGTGTACTAACCTTCATCTCGATCTGTTTCGTACTGGCACAGGAGGCTATAACAGATGGACTGGAGATAGCAGTGTCGCCCAGGTCCCTGCACAGCGAACTTATGTGTCCCATCTGTCTGGACATGTTGAAGAACACAATGACAACCAAAGAATGTCTGCACCGCTTCTGCGCTGATTGTATCATCACAGCTTTGAGATCTGGGTGAGTTTTATCCTGCAGTAGAAACCAGGAGACCCCTCTCTGTCCCTGAAGTGGTATTCAAGGAACAGGCGGCTGCTGAGAATAAGTAGGAAGAGTGTGTGAGGTGTGATCCCCACAATCAGACAAGAGAAATCACGTTATTAGATCACAAGTGGAGAAAGCTAACATCACTCAAAGACTGACGATGATGGTGATATATTGGAGCGTACAGTAAGTTCCCATTACCTGTTTGATAAGGATAGGATCAATACTCGCATTCCAGTTTAACTCTTTTTATTTCTTCCTGTCCGTTCTCGCTACAAACAGATCCCTTGTTAAAGCAATTTCTGTGTAAATGATGCGAGATAAAATCCATAAAGTTATATGAGACACGGGTGACATTTATTGGGCGTAACGTGGGCAGAACATTTCCTCTGACATAACTTAGCAGTGTTTCCGGGTGTGCTCGGTTACTTTGGAAGTGAAACGGGTTGTTAAGGACATCATTGACATTTTCTGACATTTTGTAGGCGGTGAAAATGATCCTAAATTGCGGCCCTACATTAAATCTTGGCAAAGTATTGCTACTACGCTGTTTGTCATCACAGAAATGCATGAACTTAGACAATCGCTTACTCATTAGTCTGCAGCTCTTTTATTCCTGTAAGTGGTGACATTTGTTCTAATGTGCTTTTGACCATAAACTGTAAAAATGCGCTGAGTAAATACCACAGAAAAGGTTTGTGTAGGTCAGTTTTTTGTGCTCAAAGTAAACACATGTAGTAGCCCGAAGCAGCATATTCAGGTTTGACTCTTTAGTATTTCAGGTTTACTTAAAGTGTAGTGTTTGACCCAGACAGAAATTAAAATGCATTTGAAATGTCTTGCATTTATATTATTCCACATTATAAAACGGGTATCTCAAATCAAGCAATCTGATTGGTTCATGGTAGTGATATTATGAGCGTATACAACGGGTATGAGGTCGAATTCCTTCGCACAGATCCGTATCACTCCGTGACAAACAGGGTTCGAGTTATAATCTGAGCTTCGTGAGGGCCTCGTGCCACATTTACACCTGGTATAAAAAATTTTACCGGAGGAGATAAATAAATAAATGAGAGAGAGAGAGAGACACCGAGAGAAATTGTTGCTTGTTACGTGATTCAACATTTCCCTCTCACACGCACAAACACGCACACACAACAGTCCACTACTCGCCCCAGATGTCTGCGATATTGGAACAAAGTTTAAGTTTCAACAGCAATATTATTTCATGATATTAATGAATGTATAAAACACGTCTGTCCTTTAGAGCTGCAGCTGTGGAATATTTTATTAATCGTGTAATCGAGTAATTGGATAAGAAATACTTTTGTTTGGTGCCAGTACCCGGATCAGCTGTGCAGGGCTCCACTTTTTTTCACCTCCGTCCCAGAACAGTCTTGGAAAAGCAGACAAACAAAACTGAAAAGTTATCTGTTGGGGCAACTTTTTACCTCGACGATAAATTATTTAATTTCAAATCAGTTATAAACTCCTGGACTTTGTTTCAGCAGCTTTTCTGCTCTTGTTCAAAACTTTCTGCACATTCAGAATCTCAAAATAATCTCATAATATTATGAAACTAACATCATTATTTAATGAGAATCATAATCTTTTTTAAAAAGTCTGCCTGACCTATACTCTGCTGTGCTCCCCTTCAGACTGTACTGAATGAGACCAGTGACCTGCACGTTATCAGAGGTAGAAACTGAAACCATCACATCTCAGCGCAAATCCTCACGTTAACTTCTGCCGCTCCGATAAAGTGCAGCTCACAGTCCCAAACGGAGCCGGATTGTGCTTCAGGTTTTAGATGTTTATAATGCAAAACTCTACCAGCGAGTCTGCTGGCTGCGTCTCAGCGTGCGCGGGTTTCTTTACGGTCACGCCGTATGCAGAGTTTCATCAGCTGGGTGGAGATGATTCACGCCGCTAGTCGACGTTACCAGAATATAGATTTGTTTTTCACTGCGTGAGAAGATTGATGTGTGGCGCTTGACGCTAGCCTAGCTTGAGAGGTCAACAAGCTGTTTGTGACTGAGAGAATCAATGGACTTGTACTGCGGGAGAAGGTGAGCAGCCAGCCTCCTGTGTGAGTCCGGCGTGACTGTAGTAACAGCGTGAGAAGACGGCCTCCTCGTTCGGTTCAGTAACCCATTTGCTGTGATCGTAATAAATAAACACATGCCTACACAATCCCTTTCATCCTACAGAATATTTCTCTTTGTCCCAAACACATTATTTTCTAACGACAGGACGCCGTTAGTCTCGAGCCCTGCAGCTGTGTGACTCGTATCACTGTAACGTTACAACCCAAACTCGTGGACTAACCAGTCGGAGGACAATAACCACAAACGGACGATCATAAATTTACCCTTAAGAATTACCTTAGCTAGCCTTCATCTCAACTAGCAATCGTGATTTACGGTAAATGCTAACATTACCTTGTTTTTCAGTTATGCTCCGTTACGATGCGTAGACTGGATGCTTTCGAGGTGATCCCAAACTTTAGACACTTGTCCTCCCTGTCTCTGCAGTAATAAAGAGTGTCCTACCTGTCGTAAGAAGCTGGTGTCCAAGAGGTCGCTGCGTCCAGACCCGAACTTTGATGCTCTGATTAGTAAGTAACCATACAACTTTGCCAGGAGCTTGAATCACGACACAAGTCAAACCTGGAGTAAAAATGTCTTAATCATGTCAAAATTATTATAAAATATTCTAGAATTTAGTTTTATATTCATTTATCCCATTTCAGGTAAGATTTATCCCAGCCGTGATGAGTACGAAGCTCACCAGGAGAGAGTGTTGGCCCGCATAAGCAAACACAACAACCAGCAAGCCCTTTCCCACAGCATAGAGGAGGGGCTGAAGATACAGGCTATGACCAGGTAAACCGCAATTTCAACACGCACAAGTAATGCGCATCGACGCGTAATAATAATAATAATAAACTGAATGCGTACTTGTCTTTGTCAGACTGCAGCGTGGAAAGAGACACACAGTGGAGAACGGTAGCGGAGCTGAGGACAATGGAGACTCCTCCCACTGTAGCAACGCTTCGGTCCACAGCAACCAGGTATGTTGTGATGTTTAACAACGTTAACTTTGTGCATGCGAACATGCACGTAATGTTTTTGTGTGAATATATTGATGATGAATGAGAACATTATTTACGTTAAATGATGCCTAAACACTGAAAAGCACACATCCCCCCCCCCCCCCCCCACCAGGAGGCAGGTCCGAGCATTAAGCGCACCAAAACAAGCGATGACAGCGGTTTGGACATGGACAACGCTGCTGAGAACGGGGGCGGGGACTCTGTAATCGACGGCGGTGCCAGTGAAATAGAACTGGTGTTCAGGCCACATCCCACCCTGATGGAGAAGGACGACGGTCACAACAGGTAGCGTAACACACATACTGCTTGAATAACGGCTCGTACGGTCTCACAGATAAGAAACAGGAGTGGACTTAACGGCTTGAGAGTGCTGTGAGGGATGAGACATTTCAAGGTGCAAGCTTATTAGTCATTAAACAGCACAAGGCTGCATAACGAAATGACATTTGTAGTCCACCTCCTCTCATCTTGCGGGAGTCTTGCGCTGAAAGCTCAGAACACGGACCACCTGCTGAGTGCTTGATCCGGGGTGTTGATGGCGCAGGTCTCTGTAACGATGCGGACACAACAGTTCTGAAATCGGTGGCTTGTACTACGAAGGAAGTTCAACCTACTCAGAGTTAACTCGGGGTTATCAGGCAAATTCAGGGTTGGCAAACTCTGAACACCTACACTGGAGTTAAACGGTGAATAAGATGTTGGTTAGTTGAGTCCGTGTTAACCTGGGCTAACTTAATTGGAGTGTGTTAAAGGGGTGTGTTCGGCCGTTCAGGCAGGAAATTATGAATGTAAAGACACGTTAACAGCGAAATCTAATATCGTGGCGGCCGACAAATCCAGGGAGGCTTGTTGGCACTGTGTTCTTATTGTAGTTCAGATCTCTGTTATGTTTTTTATGGGCTCTTCTGTTATATGAAGGTAAAACTGCACATGAACTCCATTGTAATAGGGGGAAAAAAAGGAGCCAGCGTTTAAGCCAGACAGAATTTAATTTCCAAGATTAATCTACAAGTAAAAAGCTTGAATATTCTCTGACATTATAGTCACACATTTATGAGAGTAACTTCACTTTGCGAGGCTGCGACCTCACACACGTCTGCCGTGTAGTATGCATGCATTGGAAAGTTATCGGATTTAGCAGTGAGGAAATACTCGTGAGTTTAACCCACTATCTTAGAGATGCACGATAGTGATTGTGATACTTTTTTTTTCTCTGTTAGCATATGAACCCTCACCCTGACTCCCTATTTTTTTGGACATGTAAAATAGTCAATCTAAATATGTGAAAACACTCCGGAGAATTCAGTTATAGACTACATCTACGAAACTATTAATTAATTAACCTTCCTCTTTAAAATCCCCGAGGCTGCAGGGCTCGCTGTCTGAACGTGATGCTGTTGTGTTCAGAACTTGATTGCAGCCGCAGTGGAACAAATCAGCATGAAATCTAAACAGATTTTATGAAGCCATGTGTATTAATATCCAACTTCTCATCATTAACACAGAGTACAGATGTGGTGTGTAGTCCACGTGCAGGGTAACCTCGAGTTAACCACGAACCAAACCTGCTCGGAGCAGTTTAGACATGCTGCGTAAATTGCCATGGCAACAGACCTCGGTTAACACCTGTCCACCTTTCGTAGTGCGGGTTAATCTGGAAGTTACACCAACGTCACGAAGTTACCTGGATAAGCCAGTTTCCCCGCTTCGTAGTACAGACCACTGTTGTTTGGTCAACCTGAGTCCCTTTTATATCCAGATGTGCTTTACAAATAAATACCTTGACTAAATATTAACACATTTACATAATAAACCAAACCAAGCACAATACACCCACCTGTGCACCGTGCGTAAACACTTTTAGTATTCTGGGTACAGCCTAACTTGAAACTGGTATTTTGATCATGCTTCATGTTAGCTGGACTGAATGTGACCGATAGTAGCTGCTAATGTGGGAATGTTTGTTTTGACAAAGGTGCACAGAGAGTAGCCGTTACACATACTTCCTGCAACACATGTCAAAACAAAACACCTTAAAACAGTATCTGTCATTGTTGTTGCATTCACCAAACTCCTCCTGGATTTTGAAACAGAACTAATGAGAGCAGTCCGTTAGGGGTGTGGAAAATAAAAGATGCATTTTAGATGCATCGCGATGCAAACTTGATTATGATTCGATTAACAAATGTCAATAATTGATAACGTAAAAAAAAATCAATAGCGCACCTATCGTTAATGATTTTCACCTGCACTCTGTGTAGCGCTTAGCTAGCGTCCTCTTCTCATTCTTCAAATGACAGCCACGCGACAGGCGGCAGTAGGTGAAAACGAGCGGAATAGAGGAAGAGATGAGCGCTACGTTTCAGTCTGGCTGTAAATGTACAGTGTAGGTCACAGCGTGTCCGTTTATTAAAGTCTGTCTGTTGTTTTCAACTACTAGAAAGGCGGTTAGCGCTAACGTCTCCTCTTCAGACTGCGGTCTGGAAGCTGAGCAGGATGTTATTTGACTGCTGTAAAGTTGGTTTGTTGAAATGACCCAAATGCCGTTTCTCAAGGCCCATGGTGCTCAATACAAGATCACAATAACCAACTTACAAGACAAGAAACAAACGTGTAACTACACTAGACGAGACAAAAAAGGAACAGATATACTGAGGTGGCGTGAACGTGGTTTGGCTGGAACATTGTAAAGTGCGAAGTTCAACCCCCATCTGAATAAATAAAACTAGCAGCAGCAGAGGTCAGTAATAACGCTGTAATAATGCTGTGTTAGCTTATATGAAGTAACATTAAATATCTGCATTTTATTACTACCTTCTTGTTTGGATTACTTTGCTTTAAAAGTACCAAGTAGTCAAACAGGGAGAAAAATAATAAATTTATCCTGTTTGTTTTACAATTGCATCGTAGCCTCATATTCGTAATGCCTAGAAATTCCCACAGTTGAGGTGATGCATCGAGAAATCGAATCGCTGACCTGATAATCGAATCGTGAGACCAGTGAAGAGGCGCCTACAGTCCACATCCTGTGGGGCTACTATGTGCTCATTTACACATATATTTGAATGTGTGTCTGCAGTGTGGAGTTTGTACCTCGCTACATTAAGACGTCCGGTAACGCTACGGTGGATCACCTGTCAAAATACCTGGCCGTCAGACTGGCTCTGGAGGAGCTGAGAAGAAACGCGGAGGCCAGTCCTGTTAATGTGGAGGCCGCTTCAGAGAAACAGTACACCATCTACATCCCTACTGCTGGAAACCAGTTCACTGTGAGTACATACACACACGCAGACCGTGCACCAGAAAACAGCATTGATCTAAACACACGTCCCCAAGCAGATTAGTGCAATCAGTTTTTCCACCCCTGCACATTCTGCTGTTGGCCTTCTTCACAGAAGACATGTTGACAAGTCACAGCAGGAAAAGCACAGATGTCAGTAATACAGTAAAGGATGGTGGATAGTATATTACTTAGTGTCTTAACAGTAAAATCACTTTTGTGAGGAAGTACATGAAATGTACAGACACTTTATTATATTATGAATTGGTTCTGGTCCCAGTCAATAGTCTTCATGGTATTCTTCACCCTTTTTCCATAGAAAATTACTTGTGTCCCTCCCCCCAAAATATCTGTGACTTTGCGTCATACTCCAATCCACATCCTGGCAACCATTCGCTAAAACGTTGTAGGTTTGAAGCCATTATTGAATATGTGAAAGGGGTGTGTTCAGACTAAAACAGGTGCTCTTTAGGATCTGAAATGTAGAAACATACAGAGAAGGTTAAAACTTTCTGAAGAAGTTGGGGGAATATGAGCAGGAGAGCAAACGTGTGACCTTTCGGAGAAAGGCTAAGTTTTAAATCCAAAATTTATGTGATCTGTGTGCATCCGATTAGTCTTTGAAATCTGGGGGTTCTCTGGGAGGTCTGTTTATGACTGGCCCCTAACCCTCTCTCTTATGTAGCGTTAAGATAACCTTAACCACATGGTACCTGCCACCTAAAATATAACCCAGAATAATCAGTAATATCTCCTCAACCATCAGGCCTAGATGCATAATTCTGGTCTTCTTTGAAAGGTCAGAAACTAAGGAACATAAATCCATTGTACATTAATATATTTATATAAAAGCTATATTTTAATGCAACAAACCATCATAAAGAAGATTATAATGCACGTGAATATCTTCTAATACACCTGTTATACAACAGTTATTACACAATCTTTCAAAAATATACCAGAATATGTCCATGTTTTGGCCATATTTACTGTTTATATGTTCGCTTTTATTGGTAGTTATTAAAAACATTATTTCTCTCCACACAAGCACGTTCCAAATAACATAAAGCTTCCAAAACATTGAAAATTTGATAAAAACGGTGAATAATCCTGTGGCTTGTAAAGCACACAGGCCACAGCTTGAGAACAGAACATCCTCCAGGGCTGTAAGCGGGCTCTTTCTTTTCGTATTGAAGAGACGAATCGATTTGATATGCTGCATGTCTGTGTAGCGCCTACGGTTTGCCGATAAAATCCGCCTCCGCCAAAGCAAGCTCTTCTTCTCTCCCTCCATCTGATGACAGAAAGGAAACTTATCAGCTCACAGACCTCACCAAGATGGCGGCCCGCCAGGACGGCCTTTATTGACACAAACGACCGCTGTTTTTGGACTGAAAACGGCTAGAACAGCGAAAATTGATCACCGGTCCGGCAGATCCGGTACCAGTAGTAACGTTAGCTAACATACTTTATATATTTCTGTTTCAACGACTTTAGTACCTACAGAGGCATTGCATTCACCAAAGAAAAAAAGTAGATGCCTTGTAATTATGAGATAAATATTAGTCCGTCAACATTGCAGTAAAACCGATATCTTTAAACCCTGAAAACTTAGTGTTGGAAGTATCAAGCTGATAACTTGCCTTTCTGAGGCTGTGCAGTGGTTCTACTCTGCAAAGCAGGAAGTGACACCTTTTTCAGTTGTCTCATAATTACAACATCCTTACTACATTTTTTTTTTTCTTTGGCGAATGCAATGCGCTTCCGTTTCAGCGTTGTAAACAAACGCACACTGGCTTTGTAGTCTCTGTACAGGAGGCGTTCACTCACATGCGGAGGCAGATAGAGCAGCGCTCACAAACGTCTGCTGGCGAGATGAAACTATATTAAAACATGGAACGGCAGGCAAAAGCAGTTTAGTTTCCTAAACTCTGAGAACAACTCTGCTTCTACAGACGGACTGGAGGAGGTTTAGTTTAGAAAGTGGCGAGGGTCGGCGTGTGAAACCCTCATGGATGTTTGAACTGTTGTGTCTGTTCGCAGGTTCTGAATGGTTCCTTCTCCCTGGAGCTGGTCAGCGAAAAGTACTGGAAGGTGAACAAACCCATGGAGCTCTACTTTGCGCCTACTAAAGAACACAAGTAGTCTCACACAAAAACACACACATACATACACACACACACACACACTCACTCGCCAGTAGGACGTCAACACATGGACTTGGCTACACCTGCGCACACAGAAACAAGAAGAGAGGACCGTGTGTGTCTGAAGGAGACGAGGGGATGGTGAACCCCTCAAAAGGACTCTTGTAAAAAGAAAAAAACTTGTTTTATATTCTGTGGGTTTTCTTTTTTGTCTCTTTTTATCTTTCTCTCTGTAGAAGGTAGCAGATCAGTACAGCGGCCAGCAGAGACCGTAAACATAAATGTAAACATAAAATTGTGCAGGAAACACTGTTCACATGGCAACATTGTAAACGCCCATAGACATAGATAACACATGGGCGTGTGCTCTTCAACTCTACGATGAACCTATTGGAAACGGATAAAGGTCAGAATAAATATAGTTTTATAATGAACTAAAAACCTAATTTTGAAACTGTTGAAATTGAAACACCACTAAATTTATGACATTGAAGTATTTTATTTTCAAAACCATCCAGCTGGATTTCTGTGGTTTGATTTGCTCATCTGAACTCTTGACAGAATGAAATCAGTCAGAGACAGAGACACACTTAATCGATTATCCTGGGTAGCCTGAAATTTTAAGATAACATCTTTGGATCTTAAAATGAGCAGTTGAATCCGAGCAGCTTGAGTTTGGACATTTGACACTTGGATTTTCTGTCTGCGTTTGTGAACCCTAAAAAAAAAAAGAACCACACATTTCAGACTGAAGGTTTTCAAAGTAAAATGTAAGTTCAACATTAACTAATAAGTAGTGATTCAGTTTCACAGTTGGGTTGCAGTTGCTTATGAAATTCAAACTATTATGGGCTTTTCTGCCGTTGGCATTCCTCTAAACTGGTTCTGCACGGTCAGACACGGATTACAACCATAATTTAATTAGAAACATCTGACAAAGTGTGAGATGCTGTTATCACAGAGTGCATAGGGCCCTTTGAGAAAACACCTGATAAACCACATGTTGAATACCAGCGTTCACACTGAGACACTTGGCAGTTTTAACCAGCTGTCGGCTGTGCAAGCAAATCCAGTTGGATGTAAGTAAGTAGTGACATGAAGCTACAGAGATTTTCCAGCTGTCTTTGTCGAACAAGGGAGAGCACTAAACGAATGACTCTGTGGTCACCCCGCTGCACCATTTGTCAGGGCTTGTCCTGCTTTTGTTTCCATAACATGGTCTGTGTACAGCAGAGAAACCCTGAATTGTGACAGAGACTCTGGGAGCTGTTGTCTTGATCTGCTGCCTGTAGGAACAAACTGTCCTCTAATATCTGTGGCTGCTCTCTATGGCTTGTCCTTTTATAAATGTCTTTTGTAACGTGGAGAGGAAGCAGCGTGCGTGCGTGCGTGCGTGTGTGTGTGATTGGAGGCGGGTGGGGAGGGAGGGTATTTTTGCAGCGCCACAGTCAGTCAGACCATTAAAGTATTCACTATCTCTACAACTCTACTCCCTTTGCTGGTCATTCACCACTGACTCACCGGTGGTGGGGGTTCTTTTCTCGCCATCCTCCTCCTTAGACGTAAAGAAAGGTACTTCGCCCACAAGAACCCCGACGGGACAAACCCACAACGATTACACCGAAACACACACACACGTGCGTTTCAAACATGATGTTGCTCTTTTTAACTGGCTGCTCTGTTTGTGGGCAAGACGATGCACCGGTGTGTGTTTTTACCATAGCAGAGAAATGTGAAGTTTGCATGTGTGAAGCTCCTTACATTGATGAGCAGTAGTGCACAGAGGATGCGATTTAATGTTGTCAAATGTGGTCTGTAGGCACTGCCGTGGCTGCTAAGTAACGGCCGCTAGGGGGCAGATACACTAATCATGAGTGACTGGATGAATGTTTGTGTGTGTGTTGGTGCATCAGCATCTGAAACGAGACCTTGGCAGCCCACATCAGGTGTGAAGGAATCCCTTAGTCCAACCTGTCTGGGCTCATGGGGGCACCAAGACCTGGTTCTCACTGCTGTTTCAAACATGTTATGTTTTTAGGTGTGAAGCAGCGTTTGTTTCATGGACAGTCGGAAACTTTATTTGTCATTTATGTGTAATATTCCTGATATTTGGCAGTGCAGTTCTAATGCAGCTCATTTATTTGATCCAAGAGGCGGAACCCCCTGCAGCACGTCAGTGGTGAATAAAAGGGTTTCACGTCGACAATATTCCTGATAATGGGAGCACAGTGTTGTGGCATTCCTGGAGAAATAGTTCACTACATTACATTTAAAAAGAATGCAACCTATTTTATGAATCCTACGGAAGCCCTAAGCGGCCATTGAAAATTGCACCCTGTACTTTAATACAGCCTCACAGAGAAGGTAGAATGGACGTACATAGACTCTTGGTCTTGTTTATGAATTTTGGCAGCTGACAAGAAAAGAAAACCCAGTTGGAAGAAAAAAACATGTCCGTCCCCCTTTTTACTCCGTTTTCCCGTGATAACAGGATAATTATCTCGGGAACTCAATAACTAATTATAGCTGAAGAGCGAGGTGTCGGCAGGTTAACAATTGTTTTCTTTTGTTTTTGATTATCCTCTTCATCCAAGTTGTTATGAAGAAATTCAGGGGAATCCAATCACACATTTCCCAACGGCTATTTCAAAGGTTCCCAAATAGCCATCAGGAAATATGTAACGTTTAAGTCCATAAGTTGATGGATGTGGACCAATTGCCGGGATGCACACAGTCCAGCAACAGTGTCTTCATCAGAACTTTGCTGAAGAGGATTAGGAAAAAGATGGGTCCTGTGCTCTACCGACTGAGCTAACCAGTGACACTGAAATTAAAGTATTAGTAGTAAAAAAAATATTTGAATGGATGGCCGCTTAGAGCTTCCGTAGAATCCACTGTTAAAAAATGTATAAATTCAGAATATTTGTGAGATGGTACTATAATTTCTTAAAACCATAGAAGCTGCCTGCTTCTTATGATCCAAATTATTTCTGTTCATTTGACTAAATCAGCATCTCGCCGTCTTCATCAGCAGATAAAGTTTGCACAGTGGTCTCGGTTTAAAAAATAAAAATGGTAACTCTTTGGTCAAGAATCAATCCACATTTGAGTTCTGTTAAGTTCTTGTTCTGCCTGTAAAATTTAAAATGTGCCAACTCAGTTTAGCCTGTTGATACGTTTTAATGTCTGTGTAGCTGGCCCGGGAGGGGCGTCCACAGATCCAAGGATTGTATCAGATTTCTAGCTTTAGGAAAGACAAGGTGTCAGGTTTCACAAACTGCCCTGCCCTGATGGGAGAGTGTCGGAGGTTTGCTCGAGTCCCATCTCGTTAAAAAGAGCTTCACTCCTGTCTCATTTTGTACCGTGTGTCTGATTAGCTGTCTGTGTGTGGAACCTGTATACTGCATCTTTCTGTTTGGACAATAAACCTGAATCTCTGTGTTCAACGTAGAACACAGCGCTGTTGCTTATGTTTTCATTGTCTGCTTTAAACAACAAAAAAAAGTTCACATCTTGGGTGTGAAAATCACTGTTGGTCTGTATTGTGACTATCTCGTCTTTCCAGCTACATCAGTCAAACACTGAATGTCAGAGGCAATGGAGCTACTGGCCATCAAACGGAAATGCATTCCTACACATCCACACCGCTCAGGGCTTCAGTATGCAGACTGGAAGAACCAGGGATTGAACCACCAACCTTCTGGCAAGCAGATGACCGCTCTACCCCCTGAGCCACAGCTGCCCTTAATCAAACCTGTATCTTATATTTCCTACTTCTACCTTTCCGTATTAAACTGACTGTCATATAAGAAGAGAAATTGTCAAGTTGGATAAGGAATAAAAATAATAGCTCTTAGCGGAGGAGTGACTGTGGATTACATTAACTTTAAGAGTTCCCATTGGTTCAGTAGCTTTTGATTTATCTTGGTTACAGAGATGTATTCCTTAGAGGAACTTTTAGAAATGGGTCCAATTATTGGGTGGTGATGGCGCAGTGGAAAAGACACATGGCTTTGGTGTGAGAGACCCGGGTTACATTCCCTCTGTGACCCATCTACCAATGTGTCTCTGAGCAAGACACTTAACCCCTAGTTGCTCCAGAGGCGTGCGACCTCTGACATGTGAAAGGTTTTCTTAAACAATTAATTGATTATGAAAAAACTTGCCAATTACATTTACTTAAGCTTGTTGAATGACTAATAAAATTTAATATTACATCTGATATGTTTTACCACCAACCACATCGCTGAAACATCCTCCCAGCTCACAACACGGACTTCACCTTTCAGTAATAATAAAAAATATAAATACAAAAAGTGTTTTTGAGCCCTTGCTCTTTTATTTTGCACTTTTATTATTTATTTAATATAAAAAAATAAAAAATTATTTTAAGCAGTGTAACCTGAAAGCCAGGCTACATGCAACAAGTGGGTGTAAGCAGAAATAAAATGTTCAGAGTTAGAACGATAAGGGGAAAGAATAACTCTGATCCCAGCCTGGACAGGTGGTCTGTGACCGGGCCATCCAAAAATCTTTTGCATTTCCCCCACACTGGATGACACAGAGGTTGTAGAGAAGGAGGAGAGAAGTAGAGCGGAGGAGGAGAGTGAGCCGGCGGAGGCGTCAGAGCAGCTGGGAAGCAGTTTGAAAGGAGCGAGGAGCTGCTTTGGACTGAAGCATCTCAAATGTGTCTGTTCTCTCTGCATGGCTGACAAACACAGGCAGCCGAGGTGCCAGCACCGCCCTGCCTGACTGCCAGCAGCGAATGCAGAGACAAAAGAGGAAAGAACTTCATCAGGAAGATACTGAGCTTCAGTAGAAAAATAAACAGGAATTCTGTCCAGAAACAGAAAAAGCAGAGACTTGTCCCGGTACTCCGCTCCGCTGATCTTGAGTTCGTCATCATCTGTTAACCGGGGGGGGGGACTCTGGTGGTTCTGGGACGATCAGACGGTCTTCCTGGCAGTCAGAACTCTAACTATAGATCCCAAACCTCCCACTGCCAGAGCCTGTGGACACAAACACACACGTTAGCCAGACACTGACCATTAAATGAGTTTCAACAAATATTAAATAGTTTTGAATGACTTCAGGACTTGTCTGTATGTTTGCAAATCGCTTTAAATCGCCAAAAGACCTAAGAACACCTTTGTAGTTGGAGGTCTGACATTTCCAAGTTGCAGCATATCTACACACCTTTTCGTGCCACTGCAGCAGCACGGCGCTGCTGTTGTCGGACGGTTTCTCAAAGCCTCTGTAGATGTACTTCATCAGCAGGTCCACTCCGGCTCTGTCCAGGGAGCCCACGGCCTTCTCTATGTCACTGCTCTTAAAACCGCTCAGCACTCTGACCACCAGCAGCTCCGCTCGCTCCTGCACACAAACAACATGCTGCTTTCAAAATATATTAGAACTGTGCAGAGCGCGAGGACATGCTATGTCCTGCAGAGGAGAAACAGGGTCTCAAAACTTTGCAACGACGATAATCCAGGAACAAAGAAATACTTTAGTATTGGTGCCATACTATTATTTAAATCTTCCATCTATGTTTTAGTTCTTTACTACTGAAGCTAGATAATCCAAAATTGAAATAAAAAACTGAACTTACAGTTACTGAACAGTAATTTATGCTACCTTTAATTTCTGCTGGGTCTTTTGTTTTGTCGTTGCTGTATCTTATTTCTACCCCATTCTGTACGGCCACCAGAGGTGGCAAAACGTAAATATGGGTAGTAATAACGTGCTGAACAAACAACCTATATGGGTGTTCTTCTGGTGAGGCCAGTCTTACTGTAGGTGCAGGACTTTTACTTTAAAAAAAAATAAAGATCTCAGCACTTTTACCACTGCCAACATCACAACGTCACATGTAGAGACATTTGGCGGCCAAAATTCCCGCGTTCTTGTCAGACAGAGCAGCAACAGAAAGCATCCTGACTGGAAACATCACTAACATGGGATGTGCACGGCCCAGGACCGGAGGGCTCTGCAACTGCTCAGAAGATCATCGGTACCCACCTCCTGAGCATCAGTGGTATCGGTGAGGTGCCTGCAGAGGCCAAAGGATACTAAAGGGCAGGACCCACCCAGCCACAGCCTGTTCACCCTGCTGCCTAAACTATCAGACTCTTAAACTCTAATTCATCCTCAGCACTGCTTCAGTGCTGACAGTTTATATCTTTTTACCATTTTCATGATAGCGCCTTTCTGGTCTTTTCGACCACTCAAAGCGCTTTTACACTCCATCATTCACACACTGGTGGACACCATTCAGGGGACGCTTTGACATGAAGCCCGGAGGAGCCGGGGAGTGAACTGCCGACACCCGCTCGACCTCCTGAGCCACAGCCTCAATTTCACTTCACAACCTTTTGTAATGTGACAAATAAATCTACCTCGTATTATCTCTAGCGTCACCTTGTGAGAGCAGCGTTGCACAAAGACAAATACGGATACCTTGGCGTTCTGGTTCTTGGTGTTGACTGGAGGATTCTTTAGCACAGCATTGAGAGCCGCATTCATGTTCCCCTTGCGAACACCAGTCAAGGACAACACAGTTCTACAGGACAGAGGTACGTTTCTTTTTTTTTTTTAAATAAATAAAACACAAAGAACTTAGAGAAACAGCATTACTTCCATTAGTACAACGACAACATAAGTATGTTCTCACAGATTCATTCTAATCTGATGTGTTTTCAAGCTGCTGTCAGAAAAATAAGCTGCGCCATAAAATCGTACCTGGGAGGGACTGTCAGAGGAATACAGCACAGGAGCATAAACACAAAGAGGCGTCTACTTTAAACATAAAACACATCCCACTAATAATAGCGGTCAACCGGTACAGGTCACTGGCTGATATTTGGAGAGCAGGGCAGCTGATGGCCGACACATAATGCCGATATCACAACAAAGAGTACTAACAGATCTAACATATATTAGGGCTGCAACAATTAATCGAATAGTCAATTAGTTGTCAACTAATAAATTAATCAAACTATTTTCATAAATCGATAAATCGGTTTGAGTCATTTTTTAAAGAAAAATTGATCTGATTGCAGCATCTTAAAGGAGAATATTTTCTAATTCAATTTAGTTTAATTAATTTCTCCTCTGTGACATCAAACTGAATATTTTGGGGTTGTGGTTATTCTTTACAGTATAACTATATTTATATTTAACACTAGCCAGTAATGCTTTTAGATTAGATCTGCTGTCATTTAGGAGAAACCTGTTAACTTGATGCAAATATACCGGGCTCTCTGCGCTGTATAAAAAGGTACTGAGTCGGTGTAACACCAAAATCTGTGACCATGATGTTTTCCCAACCTTAACCAATTCTACATTTGGTGCCAAAACCTAACCAAACTGCAACCGCTTCACAGCATCTGGCGCTTAACTTCCCATTTGGGTCGCAGAATCTGATAGGTCACAAATTTTGGTGTCACACCGGAAAGGGGGGTCAGAACATCGTTCCACAGCAGATCACTCAGATGTGAGTGCAGGTATCAGCCGATGCCGATTAATTATTCAGAACCCTGGTGCGTAAACTGCGCTGGCGTTACGCACACAGAGTGGAAGGTTACGCACTACAACACGCACATTAAAAGTAAAGTCTGCTCGGTTAAAACACAAACAGTTAAAGTAACGTTAACCGGCCACACCCTCCTCCTGTGCACACCCGGAAATGCTGCAGAGTTATCTCAGAGGAAATGTTCAGCCTGCCGCACACATCCCGCAAATAAATGTCACGCGTGTCTCATTTAACAAGACTGCAGTATAAAAAACTGAAATAAGATAAGGGCTATTGTGGATATATCTAAATATACTGCGAATCTGCAGCCCTTTAGTCTCAGATATCGTTACGTTATATTTGACAGAGCCCCGACATGGTTACTGTAGCTCCTGCTGGCTCGTGCCCCTGCCTGAAAAGAGAATTTAGTCTTTTCCTTGGAGTTATTAAAGGATATTCTCTGAGCAAAGCGTCCACTTCTGCTTCGTCTGGACCGCCCTGGTTCTCTCCTCCGTCTTCCTCGTCCACAAACTTGTTCTCGTCGTATTCATCAACGTCCACTCTCCTAAACCGGTCGGAGACTGTATTTTTAGACATTTTGGACACGATAGTAAAGATAGTTTTACGCACAAAATGAGCGTTTCTGTCCGCAGAGACAAGCAGATGCACTGTCCACTTCCTCACTTCCTCACTTCCTCTTCTTCTTTCTCCTCGGAATAAGTGCCAGTTGTTAAACCAGCGTACACTTTTATTACCGCCACCCAACGGACTGGAAGATGTAGTAAAATATTAGCAGGACAAGAAACAAGGAAATTCCACAGTGGGTGGTGGATGAAGTATTCAGATCCCTTACTTAAGTAGAAGTACTTATAGGTCACTTACTACTCTGTTGAATACTCTTTTACAAGTAAAAGTACTGCATTGAACATGCTTCTCAAGTCAAAGTATGTAAGTATGATCAGAAAAATGTACTTAAAGTACTATAAGTAAAAGTAGGGTGAAGTCAGCCACTTTTTGGTAAATGACTACTAAGACCATCTAATAATCTATGCATGAGATTTAATGATATTTTTAGAAACTGGCATGGGTCTCTTAAACGTTTATTTGTAAAAAATGTGAAAAAGTATAATTGTTTTGTAATTATGAGAATTTGACAATAATTATCGCGCTTTTTTTCAATAACAATATAACAAATGTTCAATAAATATTTAATAAATGTTTGATTTTATTCACTTGAATCATACACGAATTAGGAATAATTTTTTTTATTAAGATGTTTATTTTGTAGAGGACTGAAAAGAAGCTTTGACTTAATTTAAATTTTTTCACGCATATTTGTTGACAGATTTTTTCATTGTTTTGAATGTCCTACCTCAGATTTGTGAGTAAATCCACTGTTGGGCTTCAAGTGTTGACAGAAATCAGCCTTTAAACTCAAAAGCAGACAAATTCGATACTTATCGTCATAATTATCGATGGTAACCTTTTTTTCCATATCGTCCAGCTCTAGAGTTTGAGTATCAGCATGTTGCCTCTGCCGCTGTTCAGGTTAAATGTAACACAACACAGTGAGTTTAGCTGAAATCAATTAAATTTTTGCAAGAAACTGACATTATTGTCTTTGAGGTGCCACAGTAACAAGACAAAATAAACAGGTTAACACTCTCCAAACTCTGTATTACATTGGCTGATATATCCTGTATAAGACATATTGATATTAAATATGTATATGCATGAAACAATCATACAGTTGGTCATCATTAGCACTTACACACAGGTTTGTATGCTGTATCACATGTTAACCTTCAGAGTTGCAGCCTTCTTGCAAAGGCTCAATTGTATTCATAAATCTTCTTCCACTCCTCACCTATGCCTCCTATATTTATAAATCTTAGTTTACTGTTATCGAGCCTGGCTCCAGGTGTTATCAACTTTATGTGAGAAACCAACAAGGCCTCATTTTCTCTCGTTTGGATGTCTAATTAATTTTAAATCATGGTCTATACCCTAACTTCCCCTCCGGCCAATTAGCAACACTGTTAAACTGGCTTGGTGTATGTGTTTTTACAGAAAGTGTGTGTTCGTGAAGGCCGCAGCCTGAAAGCAACAGGCGGAGCAAGAAAACTGCACCTCAAAGTTTCAGTGTATCTTTCAATAAACACGTTAAACATCATTCTTATAAACACGTTAAACATTACATTTAGTGGTTATCATGCTGGGCATTTGGAATATTCAAACATCAAGGCTAAAGGATAAAAACACAGAATTTAACCCACTGGCCAATAAAGAGGTCATAATAAAAAAGCATAAAGGCCACCGCAAAAGGACTAAAGCCGCACCTTTATCATTTTACCCTCATTCAAGTTAGCGGAGGGCTAAACAGGAAGTTAGCCTGCTCAGCTGTCAAAAGTCAACACAGTGGACGCTGTAGCTCTACCGCCAACTTGCGTTTTGGTGGTGTAAATGCAGAATGACGCAGACACCAACGCACAACTATAAATGCATGGCTATGGTGTAAGCGCGACACAAAAGTCTAAATCACAAGTTACCATCTCCCACAGAAAACGCTACTTCTTTACTTCAGTAACCAAGTTGTGTCACTTTGTAACACGTGTCATAATGCTTGCCTAGCGGCTAGTCAGACACGCCCTCAAAAACACTGGTGGAGAAACACACTGAGCTGCAGCACACGAGATTTCCGCCTGCCGCCTGCCGCCTCCCCTCAAACCCACCCTCCTTACACTAGCTACCCTCCAGCCAGTCAGTGGACATAAAGCTGTTACTATGATGTAGAGACAGAGCTCAGTTAAACGTTTACATATGAACGATAAATTTGTTACAAATTATTCACTTACTGCTCTGAACTTGCTCCAGTCTAGGTTGTGAAGCAGATTTGGGAACATGTACGGCTGAACCAAAGACGTGTTTACGGCTTGTCAGGACCCACCCTACTCTGCTTCTGATTGGTTAGTAGTCGACCTAGGAAATCGATCTAGGTACTGCACATGTGCAACTCCCAACAAAGATCTTGTAGAAGTGAGATGCTTCACTCAGTAGCTAAAACGGACCGTTCAACATATGGTTGCAGCAATATTCAGTATGAAAATATGGTGTTTTTAGAAAATGAAACCATGTAAACTTATTCTGGTACAACCCCTAAATAAAATGATGAACCTGAAAATGAGCATGATTTGATCACTTTAAATGACTTCTGACTATTTGAGTTTACAGAACTCAACAGTGTCTCCAGAAGAATAATAAAACCAAAGTCCAGCATAGAGAGGCTGAGTGAATGTGGTCTGGACTCTGTGGAGGAGAGTTATGGTTTCAGAGATGCTGTAGAAGGACAGAATACCTGCACTGTGATCCAGGTACACTCCTACTCTGGAGGACCGAGGACCTGAGACGGGAGTTTGGACATTGTTGGATCTAAACTTAAAACTGTCATGGTCACAATACAATGCCCACGATTTGTCACTGAGTCCAAATACACATTCATCTGAGCTCCCCGCTCTGCTGATATTCTTGTATGCGACTGCAACACAAACTCCTGCCCCTCTCCTCTCCACCTCCCAGTAACAACATCCAGTCAGACTCTCTCTACTCAGGACCTGACACCATCCAGTGAATCTGTCTGGGTGACTAGAATAAGACTGTTCTTCTCTCATTACTGTTACCTTTCTGTTCCCCTCAGATAATAACAAAATTGTGTTTGCTGTGTTTGGATCCAGAGTGATTTCACAGGAATATTTTAAGAAGTCAGCTCTGGTCTTGGGCTCTGGTTCTGACAGTAAAACATCCACTTCAGTCACTTTCAGTGAGACGTTTGTCCATGTCTCTCTCAGAACATCCTGTAGTTTGTCTCTGACTTCTGACACAGCTGCTGTCACATCCTCAAAGTAGCGCAGAGGACGGATGTTGATGCTGGATGAGTCTGTAGATTCACTGAGTGCTGACAGTGAGGGGTAGTTGTGTAGAAACTGGTTGTGATCCTCTGTGAGTGAGAGCTGCTTCAGCTCAGCGTCTTTCCTCTTCAGCTCAGTGATCTCCTGCTCCAGCTTCTCCTGAAGCTCTTTGACTCGACTCACTTCAGTGTCCTGCTGGGATCTGAGCTGCCGCTTGACATCGGACCTTCTTTTCTCCATCAGACGGATCAGCTCGGTGAAGATCTTCTCACTGTCCTCCACTGCTTTATCAGCAGAGCCATTGATAGCCTCCACCTCCTGCTGAAGCACCTTCACATCTTTCTCTCTGTCCTGGATTCTCTGCTGGATGTTTTGTTGACTCACCTCGAGCTCTCTCTGCCTCTCGGTCCTTTCTGCTGCAGCTGAGACTGTGTCGTGGCCTTTATGTTCATCCACAGAGCAGAGATAACAGATACTCTGCTGATCAGTACGGCAGAACATCTTCATCACCTCATTGTGACGAGAGCAGATGTTCTCCTGGAGCTTCTTGGAGGGCTCCACCAGCTTGTGTTTTTTTAACGGAGCAGCATCATAATGAGGCTGCAGGTGTTTCTCACAGTAAGAGGCCAGACAGACCAGACAGGACTTGAGGGCTTTCAGTTTTCTCCCAGTGCAGACATCACAGGCCACATCTTCAGGTCCAGCATAGCAGTGATCAGCAGGAGCAGCTTGGAGTCCAGACTTCTTCAGTTCCTCCACTAAAACTGCTAACATGGTGTTTTTCACCAGGACAGGCCTCGGTGTGAAGGTCTGCCCACACTGAGGGCAGCTGTGGATTTTCTTCTCATCCTCTGCATCCCAGTGGGTTTTAATACAGTTCATGCAGTAGCTGTGTCCACAGGGAATAGTCACCGGATCCTTCAGTAGATCCAGACAGATGGAACAAGAGAAGGTTTCTCGGTCCAGCTGAACTCCTTTCTGCGCCATTTCACCTCTCAGTGGCAACGACTGTCAAGTAGTTTCACTTTCTCTGAACAGTAACAATCTCTGTGCTCTGATGGACAACAAATATCTGCTCCTTGAGCTCTTGTTCACTTGCTGCAGTGAATGAGATTCACCAGCTTCTGCATTTCACACCATCCTTAAACATGCAGATCTGCGACTGGGAGGGGACAACAAAATATTTTGTCTGCATTCCACAAAAAGTATTTTTTGGGAGACACAGAGTGTGTTATCTGCCAGTTACAATGTGCTTATAGGCAGGTACAGGCTGGCAGACCGCTAAACCAGCAGACAGGCAGGCAGGCAACAAACAGATAACAGGCAGGTAGGCAGATGCAGGTCAAAGTAACAAAAAAAAACAACAGGGCATCTATGCACATGGCAACTAGGACAAACTGTCAAGACAGGAAGTGAGCTGGTATATACAGTGATTGGCTGACAAAGGAACAGGTTGCAGGTGAAGAGTGGGCCATTTAAATGCAGAGCAGATGAGGGAGACCAGTGAGAAAAGCAGAACCGCTCTGGAGTCCAGCAGTGAAGGCGTGACCCCTCTGGTGGCCAGTCATGACTCAGAGTCCAGCAGGTCAGCGGTAGCTTATACTGTATAGTATCATCTGGTTGGAGATGATGCAGTGTTTTCAGTTTGGCTGATTGTTTACTCCTGAAGTTAGTTAATGTAAAGTAAAGTGGATTCTTCTCCAAAATGAGCTGCTGAAAAGGTTGTCCACCTATTTTGTAGGAAGGGGCGGGGGGTTTAGCAAAAGTAATAAACTAACGTAACAAGTAATGCAACCAGTTCC